GACCGGCACTGCCTACCACCACCTCCACAACATTGCCAGACTCCGCCAGTGCCTCACCCCTCAGGCTGCCGAAACCCTCACTCACGCATTCGTCACATCAAGGCTCGATTATGCAAACTCCCTCCTCATCGGCCTTCCCAACTCTTCCCTTCACAAGCTGCAGATCATCCAAAACTCTGCAGCTCGTGTACTCTCATGCACCAGGCTCCGTGACCCCATCACTCCCACCCTCGACGACTTCACTGGCTCCCCATCCCTCAAAGAAAAGGGAAAGAGCAGAGCAGATGAGATCAGAGCAATTATCTCCAGTGGAGAACCTGACACCAGTATGAGCCGCTTCAATCCTGCTTGTCTAATCCAACTGCCTGTTTGCTGGACTTCCCAACTCTTCCCTCCACAAGCTGCAGAGTATTCAAAACTCCTTCCACCAGACTCTGCAAAACAATCACCCCTTGTTCTTCCCGGCTTCACTGGCTCCCCATCCCTCAGAGAATGGAGTACAACACAACAACAACAACAACAACAACAAGATTCAATTTATAAAGCGCCTTTCACGTCAGGAGGACGTCCCAAGGCGCTGCACAGTTGGGGCATGACCCGAGCAGGGGGAAATGGTCAGGGTGAGGGGAGGGAAGGGAGGGAGCGAGGAGGGGGAAATGGTCAGGGTGAGGGGAGGGAAGGGAGGGAGCGAGGAGGGGGAAGAGAGTCGAGAGGGGAGCTGAAGGCACGGTCAAAGAGAAAGGTTTTGAGACCGGCCTTGAAGGAGGAGAGGAAGGAAGCAAGGCGAAGGCACTGGGGGATAGAGTTCCAGAGCCTAGGGGCTGAGAGGCTGAAGGCCTGACCACCGATGGTAGGGCGATTGGGGCGGGGGCGTGGAGCAGACCGGAGCCGGAGGAACGGAGGGTACGGGCAGGTAGGTAGGGGGATAGTAGGTTGGAGAGGTAGGAGGGAGCAAGGCCGTGAATGGCCTTGTAGGTGAGGATGAGGATCTTGAAATAAATCCTCTGGGGGATGGGGAGCCAGTGGAGACGAGCGAGGGTGGGAGTGATGTGGTCCGGCTCTGGTGCGGGACAGAACATGAGCTGCAGAGTTCTGAATGACCTGCAGCTTGTGGAGGGAGGTGGCGGGAAGGCCGACGAGGAGAGAGTTCCCATAGTCCAGCCTTGAGGTGACAAAAGCCTCGTTCTCACCTTCAAAGCCCTCCAAGGTCCAGCTCCCCCAACCTCTCTGACATCATAACCCTTATATCAGCCTGTCCGCTCTCTCCGCTCAGCAGACAACGGCCTGCTTCAGGTCCCCCGCACTTCCCGCCCCACCATTGGCAGCTGGGCATTCAGCATCTCTGCCCTACACTTTGGAACTCTATCCCGCAATCTCCCCATCTCACCCCCTCTCTTGCCTCCTTCAAGTCCCTTCTAAAGACCTTCCTCCTTGACCGTGCCTTCGGTCACCCTCCCAACCCCTTGCCCTCCACCTCTCCTGACCCCAACTCCCAGCTCGGATCTAAAAACCTCTTGACTGTCCAGCTCCCTGGGACTTCTATCCAACATGAGGGGAGCTACACAAGTGTAATTTGTTGCTGTTGTTTCTGTCTATCGTTTATGTGATTCCAGCCCATGGTGTCAGTCTGGCTCAGTCTGTGAGTTGTGTTGTGAGTTCTAAGCTCAAAGTTGGCACTTCAAACTTAAAGTTGGGACTTCAAACTTACGGTCCAGACTGGCATTCCAATTCAGTGTTACAGGATTACTTCTTTGAATGTTACATTAAAGTGAAGTCCCTACAACTAAATAGCCATTATATTTGCAGGAAATCATGTGAAGTGCATTGAGGCACTTCACAGGATTTACTGTAAAGTGTCATGGCTATTTAGTTGTATTGAGCTTCGTGAGCCAATCCCCCCATCCTTACCTGACTTCACTGGCTCTCCATCCCCAGAGAATCGAATTCAAGATCCTTGTCCTTTAAAGTCCTCCATGGTCTTGCGCCTCCCTATCACTGCAACCTATTAAAACGTCACTGTCTACTCCCTCCACTCTGCAGGCACTGGTTTGCTCCAGGTGCCCCATCCCTGCCTGCTCTACCAGCGGCAATCAGGCCTTCAGCCTTTCTGCCCCATCCTCTGGAACTCAATCCCGGAGCTCCTCCACCTCGTCCTCTCCCTTGCCTCCTTCAAGGCCCATCTCAAGACTTTCCTTTTCAACCGTGGCTTCTGTCATCCTTCATCCTCCACCACCCTTGCCCTCCATCCCACTCTGATCCCAACCCACAGCTCGGTTGCAAACCCCTCATGGTCCAGCGCCTGAGCTGTGTGATTAATTTATATACCAGAATTGGTTTCAGCTTTCACAGTACCTATCCTGGCAATTCCCATGAAATATTAACTCTCTATTCCCCCTAGAGGTATAATAAGGTAAATGCAACAGCATCTGTAGATTCAACTTTCATTTCCACACAGCTTTTTGTACTGAAGGATGATTTGACTATTTTCTTAACGAGAAGAATAAGGACTCAAAATACAAAATACTGGGCAAGTAAAATAAAATTGCTCATTCATTTCATTGCTGTTTATAGGACATTGCTATGTGAAATTGGGCTGCTGGGTTAGCCTACAAATACAGTCACTCCACTTCACAGTAGATCCTGTGAAGTGCTTCGGTATGTACTCCTGACATGAAAGGC